TAATCGAATGATGCATGTTTATTGAATTGAGTTGAGTCTGATCAGCTTTTCTCAATTTCTGCTGCAACCTGAGATAGATAGAATCTGATTAGGTTGTTAGAGCCTCTTCATTCGATAGTAGGAGATTGGCTATACGAGAGTTAGCCAGTTTACTACTTTGTACTGGTGTTCTTGGCGCCAGTAGTGGAGTTCTGTGTTCATAGCCTCAGCTTTCTATCCCGGTGAAGGCTAGTCGCCTGCCGGATAGTTAGACTGAGAGGGCTTGGTCAGCTTAAGAGATTCCAAGCTACTGTCGGATCTTCCGCAGTCTAATCAACAGTAAATCAACCCAGGGAATTGCAATTGAACCTAACTAAGGGGCTAGGGGGACTCAATCCCGAGTGACTCTTACCTGCTTTTGAAAACCGAACCATTTCCTGCTTTCTTACTGCTTTTGCTTTAAACAACACTCATTCGAATTAGTTTGCTAGATAATAGAGAATCACGGAGTAAGCAGTAGATCTAGACCCCGGGTTGATAATATAACTTGCCTGTTACTGCATTCCCGGACTGCGATTCCACTTGGTCGTAGTTTGGTGTTGTGTTTTGGCGTGTCAAGTTTTTGGCGCCGTTGCCGGGGACCCCTCTAGGTTATTGGGGAAACGTGATAATTTGTTACTCTAGCTTTTATTTACTGCATTTTATCTCTTCCACCTGTGTGCCTTCACGGGTTGCTTCTACTGATTGTGTGCAGGTAGTGCATGACCCGTAGCCAGTCGGGAGATCTACTACCATTAGACCAGGAGCTTGAACGAACTTGTAGGAACTTCAAGCGGGCTCTAAAGGCGCGACTGGCTGCGGAGGAGGCGCTGTCACAGCTGCAGTTAGGAGAAGAAGAAGAAGAAGGCGAGATGGGGGATCCGCAGAACAACGATCTGATCCCCGGGGAGCAGACCATGGGATCCTACTGGACCGCTAGGGCTGCGGACATGAGGTCACCTATTCAACACCCTCAGGTCCCAGCCAACAACTTTGAGGTGAGCACCTCCGTGATCACCATGCTGCGCGGTTCAGTAGTGTTCCGTGGTAAGGAGGGAGAGTGCCCTCGATCACATCTCAGGCGATTCCACGAGCTCATTGATGGAATCAAGATCAATGGGGTACCAGTAGATGCCATCCAGCTGAGGTACTTCCCATTCACTCTGGAGGGGCAAGCCAAGGAGTGGCTAGACACTCGACCTCCGGGCTCCATCACCACGTTCGCCAACCTGGCGGACAAGTTCCTCACCCGCTACCATCCTCCATCCAAGACAGCTGACCTGCAGAAGCAAATTACACATTTTGCTCAGGATGAGGATGAGACCATCAGGGATGCATGGGAGAGGTACAACAGCCTTTTCCTCAGGTGTCCCAATCATGGTTTCAACGATGCGTTCAAGGTGGGCACCTTCTATCACGCCCTTTTCCCGGAGGACAAGCAGCTAATTGATTCGGTTTGTGGCGGGAACATGCTGACCAAAACCCCGCCACAGCTGAATCAACTCTTTGAGGAGATGGCGGAGAACGGTTATGACTGGGGCACTGCCAGGAGATCGAGGAGAGCACCAGGCCGGGGTGTGCATGCTGTGGGCACCCAGTCATCTGATTTGGTGCAGGTAGTATCGAAGCTGGTCTCAGCTATCGATCGTTCCGGGATGATTCCAGGGACCGGACAGCAGCAAGCGATGCTCTGCCAGTGGTGCGAGAGCACCCATCATATGGTGGAAGACTGCCAGGCGATGAAGGAATCGACCACACCCCAGGAGCAGGTGAACTTCATCAACAATGTCAGGCGCAATGACCCCTACAGCAACACGTACAATGAGGGGTGGCGCCAGCATCCTAACTTCTCCTGGCCTGGGCCAAATCCCAGACCACCAGCTCCACAGGGACCACCGGGCTTCCAGAGGCCACCATATCAGCCCAGACAGGGGCAATTCCAGCAGCCAGGTGCAGCCCCTGCTGCCCTAGTGCAGAACGATAAGATGGCTGAACTGCGGGACTTGGTGGGTTCTCTCGCCAGTGTTAGTGCTCAGAAATTCAACACCTTTGAGCAGTTCATGGAGAAGGCCTCGGGTCAACTCCTGGCCCTGGAAGCTGGTCAGAGGAATACACAGGCTGTTTTGCAGGATATCCAGACCCAGCTGGGGAGCGTGGCCCAAGCAGTGGCTAAGAGGGCGCCTGGTACTCTACCAGCGCAGACTATTCCTCACCCGCCGACCCCGGATGAGCGCTGCAATGCCATCATGACCAGGAGTGGCAAGCTGACTGTTGATCCCCCTGCTCGGGAACCGGAGAGAGGAAGCCCTGTTGCAGCATCTCCAGCGGTGGAACAAGAAGTAGAGAAGGAGGTTGAGGTGCCTGCACCTAAACCGCAACCAGTAGTGAAGGAGTATGTCCCTAAACTCCCTTTCCCTACTCGGTTGCACAGAGACAGGCTGGAGACAGAGTTCGAGAACTTCATGGCCATGCTCAAGAAGCTGAATGTCCAAGTGCCCTTCCTGGAGGCACTAGCGCAAATGCCGAGGTATGCGAAGTTTCTGAAAGAGCTTCTCTCAAAGAAGCAGAAGCTGAGTGAGCTGGCCACTGTGGAGCTCAGCGAGGAGTGCTCGGCTATTCTGCAGAACAAGCTTCCGCAGAAGAAAAAGGACCCAGGTAGTTTCACTATCCCGTGCTCTATTGATAAATTGCATGTAGAGAAGTCCTTGGCGGACTTAGGTGCTAGTATCAATGTTATTCCATATAAATTGTTCATGAAACTAAGCCTGCTCGAAAGAAAGCCGGAGACCACTATGAGCTGGTCCCGCCCCCACCTTGGCCATCCGAGTATTCACTCGCTTGCATCCTACCGGATGGCCAAGTCGAGCTGGCAAATGCAGGTGGTCACATTCGTCGCGTGCATGGCCACCATTTGAAGTTGTATCTCAAGAGCGATGTGGATCCGCTCTTGAAGGCACCTGATCCTACACTTCCCTGAGCATCCATACTGGCGTCCAGCTAAAAGACGGTAAAGAAGCGCTTGTGGGGAGGCAACCCCACCACGTTTTGCATTTTTATCCTTTTTCTTTTCTAATTTGTGTCGTTTTCGAGTCATTGAGTCTGTCTGGAGTCTTTCTGGAATGTTTCTCGTGCCCCGGATGGTCTATTTTGGTCTATGGTGGTCTATTTTTTTTGAACCGGGGCACGTTTGGGTTTGGATGTTCGAATTTGCAGCTCAAAAACAGGTGAAAAAGGGCCCTCGGCATAAAAATTACGGGCACGGGGGGCTAAATTACGGTCGTAATTCTTCGACCCCCTGCCCGTAATTAATTCACATGGGCAATATGCTCTCGGCATAGAAATTACGGGCATGCCAAGGGGGAATTACGGCCGTAATCGTGCCCGTAATTACCCCCGAAAATTTTTAAACACCCGCTCGGCCTTTGTCTTTCTTTCCAGATTTAGACTCCGGATTGTGTTTGTTTTTATTTCTTGTTCCCGTTGTGTGGATTTTTGACTTGGAACTATGGTTTATTTCACCCAATGTGTGTTTTCTGTTGGTTCTAGCTCTGAGCCCATCGGACTAGTCCTTGTCCAGTCCTCTGCTTTTGACTGGTCCGCCATCCAGTCAACGTTCCTGACCACTGTTTCACGGTAACATCGTTCCCCTTCCCTTCGCTCCATTGAGGACACTGTCGCATTTAAGTGTGGGGGGGTTCTTTGTATTTATTGGAACGTATATATGAGTGCTTGGAGCCTAGTCCGCTGTCCGAATCTTACGATTTGAGGGCTCCAAGTACTGCTGTTTGATCATATTGGCACTGTGTTTTGATGGATGAATTGAACGGTCTTCGGATTAATGCATGACAACTTGTTTGCGACTAGGACAACCTATAATGAGGACTGAGATGTGCAGTAGAACGATGTAGGGGTTCAGTTTTTCAGCTGTTTGCTTACCAACTGTGACTTGGATCGATTACTTGTTCTTGACAGTCGTTTATGCATCTAGTTCAGGGTATCAGAATGTGAGATAGAGCATATAGGTAGCCATGTGAGATTTGAGCCTGCTCGTTTCTTTCTTGTGCGATAGATCCCTCTTCCATGATGTGTAGCATTCACGTTGTCACTAGCTAAGATGATGGGGGCATAGGATTAGCCCACGCCCAAAACTGACTGTCCTGACGTGTCATATTGACTCACTCCTACTGTCACCCTAGAAAATGGCCAAGTATAACCACTTCCTAAAGCGTAGTATAGCGGGTCGGGTTTTAATGTCAACCCGGGTCCTAGATGTGATGACTACTCGGTGAATTCTTGTTATTTAGCAGTGAACTTTTAGTGAAACTCAAGCAAACAAAACACAAAGCAAGTAAACGGTTTGTTGTCAAGTCAAGAGAGGTCACCCGGATATGGTTTCCCCCTAGACTGCAGTTAAGTCGGATTGCAATTTGCCAAGTTCAGTTTTCATGAAAGTTATACTGCGGAAGGTTCTCAATTAGCCTGAAGTCTCGACTAAAGGTCTCCAGACCCTCTCAATCTGAGTCTCTAGCGGGCGACTAACCTCCACCGGAGTAAACAGATTGAGGCCCTAATGAACCAAACCTCCACTACCGAATTGACTTCGGTACAGAATAGCGAATTGGCCCCTCGACTAAAGTCACCAATTCGCCACCTTCGATTAAGGGTACTCTATCAACCTAGGCAGATATTCTCATTCCAGGTCAAAGCAGAAACAACAGGAATTTGATCAGGATTCAAGTCATTCAATCATTCAAACCTCAATCGAATATAATCAATTCACAAACACTGTACTTGGGTTCATACAATCAGACCTAGCATACAAATCTAGGGTTCTCCATACCCAGATGAATGGGGAAACTACTCCATAGAGAAAGAAGCAAAAGCAGATTCAGACACGGAAATCATACTGTGAAGTTGGATTCCTGCTTCTGGACGTTTAATCGCACTTCTCCAAGCTCAAGACGGGCTCCAATGGTGTTGAAGATCGATCTATGGCGCTTGAGAACTCTGGTTCGACGCTTTCTCTCTCTAGGTATCGGTTTCTCTCTCAAAAACTCGGAACCCTTCAATGTTGTTCTTCTTCTCCCTTAAATCCTCTGCCTGGTCGCGATACCCGGTCAGAATACCCGGTCGGGTATTTTGGGTTCTGACCGGGTATCTCTGCAACGCACCATTTCACTAAAGAGGGAAATCCCCGGTCCAACACCAAAATCCCCGACCGGGGATTTAACTGCTGTGCCCGGGCCCCTCTCTGCTTCTCGGGCGCCCAAAATTGGTTAATACCCGGTCGGGTATTTGGCCACCTGACCGGGTATTTTCCTCCTTCAGCCCTATTCGTCCCAACTTTGCTCCTTTCGACCCAGAACTCGTTTCTCCGCCTCGATTCCAACGCCGGGACCTGAAATATGACATAAACACACAACCTAGCGTGAAATCGGCTTAAAACACGAGATTCCTTGTCACAAACGGCCTCAGAATAGGGGTAAAAACATGTATAATTATCGGTCTATCAAACTCCCCCACACTTAACCGTTTGCTTGTCCCCAAGCAAACCAAGTCAGACACTAGGTAAGCTTTACATATTTCAATCAACCAACACTGGGGACAAGTCATAAGGGCACAAAACACGTGAATCGCACTGGTTTTCAAACATCAATACATGCACAACCTCAATAACAACCTGGACAACCACCACAAAGGACATTCGAGTGCAGCAAATCGAGTAAAGGAAGAGTCTCCCGTCTGTTCACTAGCCAACCTAGACTTGATTCAACCACCTACTCAAAACAGTCAACTCATGCATCCAACTCAAGACATCAGAATAGAGACCGAGCAATCTAGGTCCTCACCGGGGTACAAGAGCATATAGAAAATGAAAATGAATCACTCACTCTCGACCAGTGGGGTCAGGACAATTTTGATGCGAAAGATGCGCATGCTATTTCTCTCAATCCCTATCATCTCTTCACCATGATGGCAGCCTCTAAATGCTAGAGTTCACATATGGGGTGTCACCACTAACTAATCAGGAGGTCTTAGACACAGGCTCAAATGACTGGTTAGGGTCTTGGACATGGGGAAAAGGCCTTTTAGGTGGTGGAAGTATTCATAGCAAAAGGTTCCACATTTTCCAAACACACAATCACAGTCAAACAACCCGGTATTTTCTTTCTGCTATTCTGCATTACTCAATATCTTAAGAGCAAAAAAAGCGAAGGAGGCATAACCATTAGCATTTCCAAGCCAGACTGCTAAGAAACACTGCTTACTGGGCATTATTCAGATTTTTGGTAGTGGCTCTCTTTTGCTTTCTATTTTTCTTTGTTTTTCTTTCATTTTTCTTTTCATTTCTTAAGAGAACCACCACTTCTGCATAAATTTCAAACACGTGCCCAACTTTTAAGCACTACCTCCAACACCCACATAGACTTTAGCAGAAACAGCAGAGAATATATAAAACCACTCTGTGGAACCTTCTAAAAGATGCAACAAGGGTGATTTTTTTCATTATAGACCAAAAGAAAGGACAACACACGGCTCAAAGGGGCTGACTAGGGGATATGACACATCAGGACAGTCAGTTTTGGGCGTGGGCTAATCCTATGCCCCCATCATCTTAGCTAGTGACAACGTGAATGCTACACATCATGGAAGAGGGATCTATCGCACAAGAAAGAAACGAGCAGGCTCAAATCTCACATGGCTACCTATATGCTCTATCTCACATTCTGATACCCTGAACTAGATGCATAAACGACTGTCAAGGATAAGTAATCAGATCAAGTCAGATCAAGTCACAGTTGGCAAGCAAACAGTTGAAAAACTGAACCCCTACATCGTTCTACTGCACATCTCAGTCCTCATCATAGGTTGTCCTAGTCGCAAACAAGTTGTCATGCATTAATCCGAAAACCAATCAATTCATCCATCAAAACACAGTGCCAATATGATCAAACAGCAGTACTTGGAGCCCTCAAATCGTAAGATTTGGACAGTGGACTAGGCTCCAAGCACACAAACAGAGCTAATGCAGTCAAAAGATAAACATCCCCCCCACACTTAAGATCGACATTGCCCTCAATGGAGAAGAGGGAAGGAAAAGGGGAACGATGTTACCGGGATGCACGGACGGCAGAGGACTGGAAATGGACCAGTCGGGAACACAGCACAGCTCAAGGGGAACAGAAGAGCTCAACCAGAATATGTTAGGTCCGATGTCAGCCCAATAAGACATCATCCAGAACAAATGAAACAAACCAAAACAAAACCAAATCGCAATCCGACTCGAAACATAAGAAAGAAAGTCAAACCGTGGTGGGGTTGCCTCCCCACAAGCGCTTCTTTACCGTCTTTTAGCTGGACGCCCATGGTGGATACTCAAGGAAGTGCAGGAACAGGTGCCTCCAAGAGCGGATCCACATCGCTCTTGAGGTACAGCTTCAGGTGGTGACCGTGCACCCGACGGTTGCAACCACCAGCAGAAGTCAGCTCGACCTGGCCATCTGGCAAGATGCAGGCGAGTGAGTACTCGGATGGCCAGGGTGGTCGTGGTGCGGGGGGTGGGACCAGCTCATAGTGGTCTCCACTCTTCTTCCGTGCAGGCTTAGCCACTTGCGGCTTCGGCCGCCACTCCTCCTTGAGCTTTTTGTTCGAAGGCGAGGCTGGATGGAGTGGCGGCGGAGGAATGATAGGCGGGTCCTGCAAAATGAGAGGTGCAGAAGGATACACGACAGGCTCGTGTATCTGGTCAGAAATAGCATGCACAGGCGATACAGAAATCATAGCACAATGATCAGACTCAGTCACAGGAAAAGCAGCCTGTTCATTTCCAGCACGCAAGATTAGTTTACCATCATGCACATCAATCAGTGCCTTGGCGGTGGCAAGAAATGGTCTACCTAGAATCAAAGGCACATCCACATCATCATTTATATCCAGAATAACAAAATCAACAGGATATGTGAATGCACCCACATTAACAAGCAAATCTTCTATGATACCCCTAGGATGCACCACAGAACGATCAGCTAGCTGAATGCTCATCCTAGTAGGGCTAAGTTCACCTAGGTCTAGCTTTGTGAACAATTTGTATGGCATGACATTAATGCTAGCGCCTAGGTCCGCCAAGGACTTTCCTACATGCATGCTGCCAATAGTAAGAGGGATAGTAAAACTCCCTGGATCCTTGCGCTTTTCGGGCAGCTTGTTCTGTAGGATGGCAGAACATTCCTCGCTCAGCAGCACTGTAGAGAGATCCCCAAGTTTCTTCTTGTTGGTGCAGAGATCTTTCATGAACTTAGCGTACTTGGGCATCTTCGACAGTGCCTCCACAAATGGTACGCTGATGTTGAGCTGCTTCAACATTGCCATAAAATTGGCAAACTCAGTCTCCAACTTGTCTTTGTGAAGGCGAGTGGGGAAGGGAAGCTGGGGTACGTGCTCCTTCACCACTGGTTGTGGCTTGGGAGCAGGGGCTTCCTTCTCCACCCGCACTTCTGTATCACCGGCTGGAAGTGCTGAAGCAGGTAGTGGTTCCTCCTGCCTAGTCGAGGCAGGATCAGCTGATGTAGGACTGCCGCTCAGGGTGAAAATGGCATGTGCGGTCTCGTGCGGGTCCCGTGGATTGGGGATGGTGGTGGCAGGTAGAGTCCCCGGGGCCCGAGCAGTAAGCTGGCGCGCTAGGACACCGACTTGGTGCTGTAGATCTTGCAAAATAGCACCCTGGTTCCTCTGCCCTGCCTCCAAAGAAGCTATGCTCTGGTCCACCCTTGCGAAATTCGCCTGGCTGGTGGTCATGAATGTCGCTAAAATGTTCTTCAGATCAGCCATCTGATTATCGGGAGCTGCGGCTGCTGGAGGCTGAGCAAACTGGCCCTGGGGCTGCTGGAATGGCTGCCCTTGCCTAGGCTGGTAGGGCTGCTGCTGTGGTGGTGGCCCTTGCCTATCCTGGTAGGGCTGCCTCTGCTGAAAACCACCTGCTGGTGCTGGGAAACCAGGTGGTTTGTTGGTGTTGTTGCTCCAGGCGAAGTTGGGATGCTGGCGCCATCCCTCATTGTATGTGTTACTGTATGGGTCGAAGCGCCGAGCATTGGCGATGAAGGCCACCTGCTCTTGGGGAGTAGAGGACTCCCGCATAGCCTGGCAGTCCTCCACCAGATGGTTTGGACTCTCACACCACTGGCACTGAGCTACTGGAGGCGCAGCTACACCTCGGCCCGGAAGGAGACTGTTAGGCTGCTTCAGTGTCTGCACCAACTCAGCCACCTGCTGCTCTAACCCGGATCTGGCCTCCATAGCATGCACACCACGGTCCCGGGAGTGCCTGCCTCTGCTGCTCTGCCCCCAGGAATGATCGCGGGCAGCCAAAGTACTGATCATCTGGTTCAGCTCGGGTGGAGTCTTAGTAAGGATATCCCCTCCTGGGCATAGAGACTCAATCACCCTCTGGCTGTCTGGGGTGATGGCACTGTAGAAGTTCCCCACTGTGAAAGCATCGCTGAAGCCATGATGGGGACACTGCCAGAAGTATCCCATGTACCGCTCCCATGCATCACGAAGGGACTCATCTGGCTCTTGGCGGAAGTGAGTGATCTCCCGCTGAATCTCAGTAGTCTTCGATGCCGGATAATATCTGTGCACGAACTTATCCGCCAGATCGTCCCAAGAAGTGATGGACAGTGGGGGCTGGGTCTCCAACCACCTCTTAGCATTCCCCGCCAGAGAATGGGGGAAGAGGTGAAGGCGGATTGCATCATCCGGAACACCATTCAGCTTGAAACCGTTTGTCAGCTGCAGAAAACGGGAAAGGTGTGCCCGGGCTTCCTCATCCTTCAAGCCATGGAACTGGATAGAGGATGTGATGAGCTGAATCCAGCCTGGCTTGATCTCGAAGTTATTTGCTGGGATGGGTGGATAGAGGATGACCGGGCGGATGTCAGCAATCCGTGGAGTGTAGTAGTACTCCAAGGTGGGACCCGGCGGTGGTGGTGGATGCTGATTCGCCGGGGGGACCTGTCGAGCATTCCCCGGTTGTGGGATGTCTTCGCCCTCCATCTCGTACTCTTCCTCAGAATCGCTGGTCAAGTGGCCGTCTATGCGCTCTCCCGTAACCAGTCTAGCTCGCTGCTGTCTCCTAAGTTGGCGGCAAGTGCGTTCAAGCTCTGGATCCAACGGCAGTAAACCTCCTGACTGGCTACGGGTCATGCACTACCTGCACACACTCAAGCAAGCAAACCCGTGAAGGCACAAGTGGGACAAAGCAAAAACTCAATGCAAAAATGAAAATGCTAAAGTAACAGAAATCACTTTTCTTCAACAACCTAGCCGTCCCCGGCAACGGCGCCAAAAACTTGACTCACTCCTACTGTCACCCTAGAAAATGGCCAAGTATAACCACTTCCTAAAGCGTAGTATAGCGGGTCGGGTTTTAATGTCAACCCGGGTCCTAGATGTGATGACTACTCGGTGAATTCTTGTTATTTAGCAGTGAACTTTTAGTGAAACTCAAGCAAACAAAACACAAAGCAAGTAAACGGTTTGTTGTCAAGTCAAGAGAGGTCACCCGGATATGGTTTCCCCCTAGACTGCAGTTAAGTCGGATTGCAATTTGCCAAGTTCAGTTTTCATGAAAGTTATACTGCGGAAGGTTCTCAATTAGCCTGAAGTCTCGACTAAAGGTCTCCAGACCCTCTCAATCTGAGTCTCTAGCGGGCGACTAACCTCCACCGGAGTAAACAGATTGAGGCCCTAATGAACCAAACCTCCACTACCGAATTGACTTCGGTACAGAATAGCGAATTGGCCCCTCGACTAAAGTCACCAATTCGCCACCTTCGATTAAGGGTACTCTATCAACCTAGGCAGATATTCTCATTCCAGGTCAAAGCAGAAACAACAGGAATTTGATCAGGATTCAAGTCATTCAATCATTCAAACCTCAATCGAATATAATCAATTCACAAACACTGTACTTGGGTTCATACAATCAGACCTAGCATACAAATCTAGGGTTCTCCATACCCAGATGAATGGGGAAACTACTCCATAGAGAAAGAAGCAAAAGCAGATTCAGACACGGAAATCATACTGTGAAGTTGGATTCCTGCTTCTGGACGTTTAATCGCACTTCTCCAAGCTCAAGACGGGCTCCAATGGTGTTGAAGATCGATCTATGGCGCTTGAGAACTCTGGTTCGACGCTTTCTCTCTCTAGGTATCGGTTTCTCTCTCAAAAACTCGGAACCCTTCAATGTTGTTCTTCTTCTCCCTTAAATCCTCTGCCTGGTCGCGATACCCGGTCAGAATACCCGGTCGGGTATTTTGGGTTCTGACCGGGTATCTCTGCAACGCACCGTTTCACTAAAGAGGGAAATCCCCGGTCCAACACCAAAATCCCCGACCGGGGATTTAACTGCTGTGCCCGGGCCCCTCTCTGCTTCTCGGGCGCCCAAAATTGGTTAATACCCGGTCGGGTATTTGGCCACCTGACCGGGTATTTTCCTCCTTCAGCCCTATTCGTCCCAACTTTGCTCCTTTCGACCCAGAACTCGTTTCTCCGCCTCGATTCCAACGCCGGGACCTGAAATATGACATAAACACACAACCTAGCGTGAAATCGGCTTAAAACACGAGATTCCTTGTCACAAACGGCCTCAGAATAGGGGTAAAAACATGTATAATTATCGGTCTATCACATATCCCCTAGTCAGCCCCTTTGAGCCGTGTGTTATCCTTTCTTTTGGTCTATAATGAAAAAATCACCCTTGTTGCATCTTTTAGAAGGTTCCACAGAGTGGTTTTTACATATTCTCTGTTGTTTCTGCTAAAGTCTATGTGAGTGTTGGAGGTAGTGCTTAAAGGTTGGGCAGATGTTTTAAATATGTGCAGAAGTGGTGGCTCTCTTAAGAAATGAAAAGAAAAATAAAAGAAAAACAAAGAAAAATTGAAAGCAAAAGAGAGCCACTACCAAAAATCTGAATAATGCCCATTAAGTAGTGTTTCTTAGCAGTCTGGCTTGGAAATGCTGATGTTTATGCCTCCTTCGCTCTTGTGCTCTTGAGATATTGAGTAATGCAGAATAGCAGAAAGAAAATACCGGTTTGTTTGACTGTGATTGTGTGTTTGGAAAATGTGGAACCTTTTGCTATGAATACTTCCACCACCTAAAAGGCTTTTTCCCCATGTCCAAGACCCTAGCCAGTCATTTGAACCTGTGTCTAAGACCTCCTGATTAGTTAGTGATGACATTATGTATGTGAACTCTAGCATTTAGAGGCTGCCATCATGGTGAAGAGATGTTAGGGATTGAGAGAAATAGCATGCGCATTTTTCGCATTAAATTGTCCTGACCCCACTGGTCGAGAGTGAGTGATTCATTTTCATATTCTCTATACTCTTGTACCCCGGTGAGGACCTAGATTGCTCGGTCTCTGTTCTGATGTCTTGAGTTGAATGCATGAGTTGACTGTTTTGAGTGAGTGGTCGAGTCAAGTCTGGGTTGGTTGGTGAACAGAAGGTAAAACTCTTCCGTTGCTCGATTTTGCTGCACTCGAATGTCCTTTGTGGTGGTTGTCCAGGTTGCTGTTAAAGTTGTTCATGTGTTGATGTTTGAAAACCAGTTTGATTCACGTGTTCTGTGCCTTTATGACTTGTCCCCAATGTTGGTTGACTGAAATATGTGAGCTTACCTTGTGTAGTACTTGGTTTGCTTGGGGACAAGCAAACAGTTAAGTGTGGGGGAATTTGATAGCATCGTATTTGCACGTGTTTTCACTCTGGTTTCCTGCCCATTTTGGATCGAATTGATTGTTACTTGGCCTATTTTACGCTAGGTTGTGTTCCTTTGTCACATTTCAGGTCCTGGCACATAAAGTGAAGCATAGGCGCAAGTTTCAAGTCAATCAGAGATCAATTGACGATTCGGGAGAAGAAACTCGGGTATGACCTGAAGAAGAATGGATTTCTACCTCACTTTATGGACAAAGAATCATGCAAGCTTGTCATGAAAAGAAAGAGGACGAGACTACGAGCGTCTGGGTTCAAACGGCGACTGATTTGGAGTCCGGACGAGGGAGAAACGAAGCTTTGAACAAGAGCGGAGACAGAATTACGGGCAGCCCCTGCCAAATTACGGCCGTAATTGGCCAGGGCATGCCCGTAATTTATTGGCCGAGCCTTCTACCCAGAATTCCCTCGCGGTGATAAAATTACGGGCAAGATCCCAAGAATTACGGCCGTAATTCCCAAATTACTGGCGGTAATTTGTAAATTACGGGCGTATCTCCTCCCCCTGCAGCCTAAGTGAAACGTGCGTTTTGGTGCGAATTACGGGCATGACGTGATTACGGCCGTAATTCTGCCCGTAATTCGCCCAGAGTCGGGTTTTTGGAGGCAGATTCGAGCCAAGGAAGGAGAATTCAATTTCTGAGCAAAAAACAGAGTTTTAGAGAGAGAAAGAGCGAAGAACAAACCCTAGGAGCTATTTTGGAGTGGATTTCTCATCATTGAAGCCCAGATTGCATCCCTAGGAGTGAAGATTGACATCCCAGAGCAGATTTTCCTCATCTTTATGAGTATGACCACTCTGATTTCTGTTTTCCCTTCTCTCTCTATGGAGTAGAACCTTTCTCTCACTTGGGTATGAAGAACCCTAGTTCCTTGTGTTAGGGATTTGATTGTAATGATTTGGGATGATGTTACTGTTTGATTTTAATCGAATGATGCATGTTTATTGAATTGAGTTGAGTCTGATCAGCTTTTCTCAATTTCTGCTGCAACCTGAGATAGATAGAATCTGATTAGGTTGTTAGAGCCTCTTCATTCGATAGTAGGAGATTGGCTATACGAGAGTTAGCCAGTTTACTACTTTGTACTGGTGTTCTTGGCGCCAGTAGTGGAGTTCTGTGTTCATAGCCTCAGCTTTCTATCCCGGTGAAGGCTAGTCGCCTGCCGGATAGTTAGACTGAGAGGGCTTGGTCAGCTTAAGAGATTCCAAGCTACTGTCGGATCTTCCGCAGTCTAATCAACAGTAAATCAACCCAGGGAATTGCAATTGAACCTAACTAAGGGGCTAGGGGGACTCAATCCCGAGTGACTCTTACCTGCTTTTGAAAACCGAACCATTTCCTGCTTTCTTACTGCTTTTGCTCTAAACAACACTCATTCGAATTAGTTTGCTAGATAATAGAGAATCACGGAGTAAGCAGTAGATCTAGACCCCGGGTTGATAATATAACTTGCCTGTTACTGCATTCCCGGACTGCGATTCCACTTGGTCGTAGTTTGGTGTTGTGTTTTGGCGTGTCACCTCCTTAACCTAAGAGGCTCATTTCGAGATGAGTTTCCTTGGGCATTCAATGCCTCCTAAGATAGTTTACAAAGAACCCTCTTTAACTTAAGAGGCGCTACTAGAGATGGGTTCCTTAGGCATTCTATGCCTCCTATTCTAGGTTAGTTAAAGGGAAAACCTCCAAGTTCGCATTAGCACTTAGGGTTTGGTCGTGGGTGGTTGTCCGAACTCCAATTTGAGGGTGAAGTCTAACCATACCTTAGTTGATAGGTTGAGAGGGTCACATTATTGTCTATCGTATCCCATTCCTCAACCTAGAGGCTAAGAGGGTAGCTTCGGCTGAATGTTAGACTTCAATGCGGTTTATGACCCCCTAACCACACACGGTCGTTCGATTCTTCAAGTCATAATTGTTAGCTAGGGGGAGCAACACCCGGGTGAAGCTTTCTCAACTTGAGTCAAATTCATTTTAACTTTTCAAAGCAACTTAGTTTTAGACCTTTGTTTTCACAAAAAACCAATGCTCTAGATAATGTTTCGAATAGTCGAAGTAGCGGTACATGGACCAGTCGGGGTCGATATTTAAACATACTTTCCCTATATTGCACCCATCTAAGGTTCATTCTTGGACTTTAGGTGATATTTTATTATGATAGTCAGATCGAGTCAATTACTTCACACCCAATCTTATGCCTTCCTATGCAAGCAATCAAACCAGCCCTCCTAGCCACTTTGAAGTCTTCGATCAAGGCCTTAAAGTGAGATCTGATGCAAATAGGCTTCATTTGTTTGTTCTTCAGGTCTTGAAATTCCAATTCCAACTCACCTCTCCCATCGACGATGCTCCATCTGCTTTGAATAAGCTTCCAAAGAGAGTAGCTCGAACTGCTTCTAGACTTGGCCAAAATCAGGCAGTCTTTCAATTTTACAATAGCAACTTGAGGCTTCTAGAAAAAGGCTTCAATGGGTCGACCTTGCTGAACCAAGGCTTCAAACTTGTATACAAACTCTTGAACTACAAATCCACACCCTTCTCTTGCAATTCCATCAACTAGAATGCAATATACGAACATGTAACGTAAGCACCACGAAACAGCCCAGACACTTAGCCAAATTCACGCATTTTTCCTTCCAACGTTGATTGATCCTTTGACAAGCAATTGACTTGGGTTTAAGGGGTAATTCAGGATCATATCAGAAGCTCTTGGCGGCGACTGAAGATTCCGGATTCATGAGTTGCCAGATTCGTGGCCAACCGAGTAACCAGATTCACGACTTTGGCGATTTGCGATCCCAACCTGCTTTTTGTCTTAGGAAATTAGCTTCTTTGTCGATTCTCGTCTCAGCCGAGGAATTCAAGCAGCGTGCTGCCATGTCGAAGCTAGGTTCTTCTTCAACTTCGACCAACATCAATAGTCGTGGGGTGGTACTTTGCAAGCACAAGGTGGCCTATGTGGTTAATACCTCTGGTACGGACCTGAACCTAGGCAGGCAGTTCTATGGGTGCCCATATTGGATGGAAATGTAACCGGTAGATGATTTTTTTTCAATTTTGTGGTTGCCATTGATGAATGTGTTTGTTGAGTACATGCTTCTTTTGGTGCAGAACGAGAAAAAAACAGCATTTTTAGGTGGGTACATGGGATGGTTGATGAAGAGGAAGAACAAAACTCTGCAATAGGGAGTTCTCACCTGAAGCTCGAAGAAAATTTTTGGGTACTGAGTCAAAAGCGGAAAGGAGTAAGAAGGAGAAGAAATTTTTGATTGAAGAGTTGTCAAGGTGGATGAAGACTCATGAACTTATGGTAGATGAAGGAAGGAGAGTGGCTAATGACATCTGTGTCATCCGTTATAAGTTCACAAGTGTTGTTATAGTGAACTTCTTATTGCTTGCTCTTCTATGGCAGCGCCAGTTTGTTATGTAGAAGTAGTAGTTATTGTACTAGGCTTGCTTCCAATTGAAATGTGAAAGATGAATGTGTTTAATAGTAGTAGTTGTTGTACTGGATGAGCTTCCAATCAAAATGTGGAACATGAATATGTGATGAAACGTGGAACATGAATCTGCTATATAG